ACTCATCAAGTTGCAACTGTTACAATAGAGAATGTCTATATATAAAGACTTAAGAGATGAATAAGTTCAATTAGATGAAGGCCAATGACGCCATAAACATATAAAGGGAAAATATGATGACTCGTGATATAAAGATCGTTTTCAATTCGCCATATTAATTTTCATTGATAAACTTTTTTGTTTTGCATTAATCATGACAGAATATTCAGTAGAAATATATATGATACAAATGCAGCAGGCCATGTATGCATGTGTGATTAAATATGGAATAAAAATACCCGTGTCAAACTCACAAGAGACTCAAAGAAACATAAACATGATAATATCATGCTAAAAGAAGAAAACCAACTGAGTCGAATGAATTGGAAGAATTAGTATTTACCTTTTCAAAGGATAAACTTTCCCGTAAAGCATTAACAGTGGTTACAGCATAAGAAGTCAGCCCACCAACGCAGGTGGGATCAACCTCAGCCAGAGCACGTAAAGTTAAAGCAGCCTCAACACGTACCTGGAAAAATCAAGTTGACCTTTGTAAATTTATGCATTTTCAATTACCCTTGGGTTGTCATTTTAGCCAATGTATCCAGATAGTACCAAGACGTTCATTGTTGGCATCATGTTCGCATGACAGGTAAAACTAATAAACACTGCATAAAGCTGAGTCTAAGTATTTAATTAGCTACTGCATTCAGAAAAACAATCAGAAATCACTCTGATAACGGCTTCTTCCAACCTTCTATTTCTATGCATAAAGGTTTTGTTTACCTACCTACTGAGTTCTGTCATACCGATCTATTCCAGCCCTCTATGTCTATAGATAAAGATTTTGTTTACCTAACTTTTGATGGACAGACTTTAAAGTAAATCAAACAATTTTACATCCAGTATACCACGAAGTACAAACGAAATATGTCTTTCTGTGCAATTTTACTAGTACCAAACAAGAAACACGTAGATAAGGAAGATCGGAGCCTGGAAGATTATTAGCATTAAGAAAATCTAAATGCTGCAAATAAAAGAAAAAGAGATCAAGAGGACTCGTGTTGAGAATAACTATCAAAACAAGATATGTGAAAGCTTACAAGGTCCAAAAAATGTGACAATGCTGCACCCACTGTGTCATCAAAAAACTCCCTGAATTCATTGGGAACCTGCAGGCAGGAAAATAAAAACATTTCTTCATTAAATTAAAGAAACAAAAGCTTCATGACAAAAATCAATCTGACGAGTTACGCCAGTAGCGGCCTCACCTCTCCCAGTGTTTTCAATGTGTATGACAAAGCCCGCAACGCAACTATTTTCATTGACGGACTAGCATCTGAAGACTGAAGCTACATTTGTTTTAGAAAAAAACATAAATAACTTGCTTGATCATGATGTAGAAAGATAAATTAAATTTTTTGAATATAAGTAGCTCTGACTTGCAGGGGAAAAAAGTGGATCAGTTAAACTGCTAAACCTGCTTTCCAAGAAAAACGGAAAAGCTTCTCTGGCTTGGTTCCATCATTTGATCAATTACGCCGACCCGTAGGATGTAAAGAACACATGCCTTCAAAAATTAGAATATACATTAAGAAAATTGTTTTTCATAAGTGTTAGTAATTTCTCCACGTTGTTTTCAACCAATGCAGAGAAAACTTGTGAATGATTCCAAGCATAGCATTAGAGTTGCATGGTGATATTTTGATAGATAAAACTATGTAAGAAAATTTATCGAGACATAATGACAAGGTTGGAACTGCAAGCATAACGTACTAGTGCATGGGCATCAATTGAAGAGTCACCCCGCAGCATGTCGATGACATGCAAAGAATAGTCTTGAAGCTCACTATCTGGATCCAAATACTTTATCCTGATGGCCTGCAAAATTCAATGTTTACAAGGCCATGTGCCGAATTGAAGGATATGTATGTAAAAAAATTCGTAGATAATCACAAGGTTCATCTCAATTGGTGTGATTTCCGAAAAAGGTCCATGTCAAATGTTAAACATAATGTCTCGTTGGCAGGATGAAATGCAAAATCTAATCAACTCACCAGGACAACACAATAACTAATCGTTTATTTACCTGTAAAAAGAACACCCATGACAGAGCCAAACCAAACCGCTTGTTCCTTGCCCTAGATCCAACTGCTGCAATTTCAAAAAAAAAATTATGACGGAGAAACAAAAATTAGTGCTTTGCAGAAAAGAAAAAATGTATATATTTGATGAACCAAAAATTTACAGAGAGAGATTCATGAAACCCCTAATATTTCAAAGGTCAGAACTAATCAGGTATGTTTAATTTTACTACGTGTGCCATTATAACTGCTTTCTCATTCTTACTGTGCATGCCTCCACACGGTGACTGTACTATAGGGACTAAAGAAGTTCTGCCACAATTTCAAAGGCAAGACAGAAAGGGTATAAAACGTGTGCGTGACACCACGAATGCTACAATAATATGTCATCATATTGCCAGAATGGCTTGCAAGTCTGTCTTCAATTACTCATAACACTACCTTTTGTGAAGGGTATAATTAGATGCCTCTGCAAACCACCTTCAAGTTTCTTTGCCGGTGGAAATGGACCTTTACCTCTGGGTTGGACCTGACAAACAAAAATTAAATTCCATGACCACAGAGTTATGAAGACCGAAAGGAAGCAAAATACTGGTGAAATAGTCTACCTGCGCTTCAGGATGCATTCCTAGCGCAAGCAATGAGCCCAAAGCCTCTGCAAATGCATCTCGGACAGACGATTCTGAATCTTCAATACCCTACATTAAGAGGCAAATATATATTCAGCGATAAACATCAGCCCACCAAGAAACTGAAAGAAGACCGAGTAAAACACATACAGGTTTCACTAGCACATCAAACTGACCTTGACACAGTAAGACGCTAAAGTATCAAATTCGCTAGTACCAAGACCAGGTCCTCCAATGTTGGAAAAGGCCTTCAAACAACGAGCAGCAGCGATTCTCACTACGAATGATTTATCTAAAGTGGAAAATCTTGTGATCAGACGGTATGCTTCAGAGTACGCAGTGGCAGCAGCTGTACCACCGCAACCTTCCAAAGCATTGTGAAGCAAGATAAAGGCTTCTTGTCTCACAAAATCCTGAAAACAAGGGAAACGACTCAGAATTAAATCAGTAACTAATAGTTGCAGAATAGAGGTCACTTCTCATTGATGTCCACAAGTTTCTTCACAAAACTCTAGATAATGATAGCTTGGCGGAAATAAATTCAATGATTGAGAAACAGCAGATTCAGAGACTTGTATAAGGCAAATTGGTTTATACACCAAACCATATCTACCGTAGATACTAGGACACAGTAACAATGGTTGCAGAGCTTTAATCTCTTCACTACCACAGATCAATACCTATTTAAGATTTTCACAGCGTATAGTTCTTTCAAAATAATCCAACTGGGCAGATGATAAAAAGATAAAATCCATTGTGGTATACTACATATAATTATGTTAAACCAATAAAATTTACCCTTCCAAACGACAGAAAGTAGATATTTGAAAAGTAGAACGACAGTACCTCGTTAAACTTCACTAATTTTGTCACAATAACTGTTGTTTCGAACAAGCCAGAAGTAATTTTTCTCCCAAAATGACGATACAGCTCCCCCAAGCACTGGGCAGCACCTAAGAAAAACATGTATCTATAAACTGAGGAACATAAGACCAAATAAACATAAAGCAGTAACCAAACGCATGGATGAACTTCATGAAATGCATCGATTGCTCCGCTCAATAGAATGCATATCAAACAGAAAAAAACAAACACACAATAATTTATGTTCTGCTTAGAAGGGTGACCAATAATAATCTTCATTCCAAAACATCACTATAGCCTACAGTATTTAAAATATTAATGAAAAATACTGCTTAATACAGCTTCTCAGTAATTCTTACAAATGTACAGCCTACCTGCAACTCGCTGTGGATCACTCCGCTTCCCATCCGAAAGAAACCCTTGTAAACTGCTAGCTCTAGAATATATCGAAATACTATCACCCTTTGATATTATTTTCGCCATAGCCACTGACGCAAGATGCCGTACCGGTCTCCGAGCACCAAGAGTAACTAGAGAATACAAAGCATCTTCGCATTTTCTTTGCCATACTAGTATAGACTCCTGACATACATGATCGTTGAGAATCCATCAGATAGGACATCTAAGTCTCATACAAACGCCAATATGATATACACACAAAATTAACCACAGAAACGTTCTTGGCTGTAACATTCCAAGTTAGAAATTCCTTCTCACAGTTTGAGATCACGAAACCTTAACTACTGCAAAAAATTAGCACAAATGAAACGATTTTCTCACATTTTTTGTGAAACGAAGAAGGCTACTAATTGATCTCATATCAATGTTTATGATAAATCTCATTTAACAAAGACTCATATTTCCACATAATTCTAATTCGCAGATGCGAAAATGACGAAAATGAGCATTATACAACGAAATGAACAAATATAAGAACGATCAAACCAAAAAAAAAAAAAAAATCAGGTTCTGAGAAACTAGAAGAAAAACCTTGGGCTCTTCGTCGAGTGCGGAAATAAGATCAGAAAGGATCTCGAAACAGAGGAGAGGGTCAGGGTTTTTCTGTGATGCTGAGGCCACAATCGACTCCAATTGAGCGACCAAAACGCCGAATCGCGAAAGAGGAGCGTTGTCGCTCACATTACTTTTCGCCATTGGAACAATATAAGCAAGAGTGACATAGAACGAACCAAGCCCAGTAGAAGAAAAACCAGAAAGCAGGAAAACGTAAGACGAGGAGGAAAGAGTAGTGAGAGAGAAGAGACTCGGAATATTTGTTTCAGATCTATCGAGGTCGGAGAAGAAAACCGGAATTTGTTTCCGGGTCGGGTATTAGATCAGTAAATTAACCCACCCGATATAAGACGGGCGTAAATACAGATATTCACTGGGTTATTTCTCTAATTGGAAAAAAAAATCCACATTTAATTTTTCTGTTCACCCCTGAAACTAGAAAAGCTCCACGTCGGTAAAAAAAAAACCTTCGCCGCCGATTGCTAGTGTTTCTCGCTCTCCGCCGCGTAGTCTCTCTCAAACTCGCTAAATTCCGACGATCGAAAAACCTCAGCAACTTTATTACTTCGAAGGTTCGTATCGGTCTCCTTGTTATTCCCGTCTGTAGAAATCTTCAAACCTAGATTTAATCGGAACTAGTCGGGATCTAATTGTCTTCTTCGATTCGATAGCCGCGACGTAGATAGATTGATTTTCCTGCCCATCACATCGTAATCTGATGATTCTTCTGTTGCTTATGTATCAGATTGACTTGAAAAGTTGCTAGAAGCTTACATTGATTTGCAGCAGCTTGTGCATCATTCTCTTTTCTCAGTTTGATAATTGAAGCGTTTTTGATGGGAAGCAAAGGAAGAATCCATCCACCTCATATGAGGCGTCCTCTTCCAGGTCCCGGTATAGCTCATCATCCCGAGAATTTTGGCCCCGGTATGCCGTCTTCTGCTCAAGGTGCGTTTACTTCCTTCAACATGATGCCTCCACCAGAAGTCATGGAGCAGAAATTCGTGGCACAACACGGGGAGATGCAGAGATTAGCAATAGAGAATCAGAGACTTGCTGCTACACATGGTAGCTTAAGACAAGAGCTAGCAGCAGCACAGCACAATTTGCAGATGCTTCACGCGCAGATAGGGTCGATGAAGTCCGAGAGAGAGCAACGGATGAGTGGTCTTGCGGATAAAGTTGCTAAAATGGAGACTGAGCTGCGGAAGTCAGAGGCAGTGAAGTTGGAGATGCTAGAGGCACGCGCAGAGGCGCATAACCTGGTGGTGGCGAGGGAGGATCTTATGTCCAAAGTGCATCAGTTGAATCAGGAACTTCAGAAAGCTCATTCCGATGTGCAGCAAGTGCCAGCTCTTATGTCCGAGCTTGATAGTTTAAGACAGGAATACCAGCAGTGCAGGTATTTGTTCTAATTCCTTTTTTTTTTTGGCTATTTTTGAGAAAATATGGTTGGAAGTAGAATTAGAACGTTTTGGATTATTGGTATGGAAGTTTCTGATATTACAAACTCGCGGCACTCATACTAGCGCTATTGAGTTTTCCAGCCTTTGTATCTGTCTCTTATGAAGGTCCTGATTATTTTTGGTTATCTGATTCTGCAGGGCAACATATGACTATGAGAAGAAGTTTTACAACGACCATATCGAGTCACTTCAGGTAATGCAGAAGAACTACATGACTATGGCTATGGAAGTACAAAAGCTTCAAGCACAGTTAATGAACAATCCAAATTCGGACAGGAGAGCTGGTACTAAATTATTCTATTTAGCTTCATTCTTCCACGATCTTTTTCAGTATTTTAAGAGTCGTATCTGTCAATCTAATGACAGCTGGCCCTTATGGTAGCAACATCAATGCTGAAATTGACGCTTCTGGGCATCAGAGTGGAATTAGTTACTATGATGATACTTTTGGTCACCAGGTTCGTGTGTTTTTTCTTTGCAAGCCTTTTCTAACTCGTCGTGGTATATACCATATAGCCACAAATGCGAACCACTATAGTTTTTCCACATTTATTGACCATCATGAGTAGTAAAATCTATACACTTGGGGCTCAAAACCTTTACCATATTATAAGTAGAAGGATGAGCTCTAGATTTGTTTAAAACTTTGCTCACTCTTTACCTGCTTCGATTTTGAATGTGCTTGAGGCTTGAGGCTTATATGTTTTTAACTTTTTATACTTTTGCAGGGATATATTCCTCCACCAGCTGCTGGTAACGCAACTGGACCAAATCCGTATGTTGCGACAGCTCAAATCCCATACCCAGGACCAGGAGTAACTCAGCCAGGATACTTCCCTCCAAGGCCTGGTTACTACTTCCCAAGAGGCCCTCCTGGTTCATATGACCCAAAAAGGCCTGGCCCAGGAACACACGGAGGTCCATTCCCACCTGCATCATCCTACAATACGCCTTACGTCCCTGCTGCTGCAACAACTGGTCCACGCGGAAACACTAGTCACAGATGAGACCATCGAGTACATAACAATAACTTGCCAGCTATACAATGCTTCAACTGTGGAGTTGTTGCCGGTTTTGGATAATTTATATATGGTCAAGAGATGCTGGTACAGTGGTGAACTTTGAGTTCTATTGTTTATCTGATTTTGGTGAGAGCTTGACTCGAGTCTGTACTGAGACAATTCTCAACAAGTTTTGCCTTTAAACTGTGTGATATGAGAGAGATGTAAACTCAGGAAATAAATAACAAAAAAAGAAGAGAAATTTGTACTCAGAGAAATCCTATCAATGAAACTTCCTCGAAATTAAGTATAAATTTATCATTAGTTTTAATAGAAAAATTCGTTGTACTGTGAGTATATAACTCAAAATTTGTCCATCCAAAATAAACTTTCAAAACTAAATTGATGAAAATATTTTAAATTCCCGCCAGAGTCACATCTAATTTCGCTTCCTCCTTCAGTCATTTGCTCTCCAATTGTTTTTCGTCTTTAATATTTACAGACCTGAGAGAAAGAGGGAAGAACAGAGGCAAACGAAGAGACATCTGCGAAATTTGCCGCCAATTCGTATCAATTCGACCAGGTAATTCCGCTAGAATAAAGAAATCGCAATCTCTAGGGTTTCATATCAAATTCGATTTACATAACAGGGTTTTTTTTTTTTATCTCTCAATTTCTGTAACTTGGTTTACTTAACTAGATTTAAGTTTTAGGGTTTAGCGAATCTTTCCGTTCGTTCCATCCCCAGATTGTCAATCAGATTTCTGTAGCTTTGGTTTTGTAGGTATGGAAAATGTGGTTGCAACTGTTAGTGGTTATCATGGCGCTGAGAGGTTCAAGCTCATCAAGCTTATCTCCCATTCTGGAGCGAGTTATGTAGGGGCAATGTCAAGATCCATTACACATTTGGTTCGTGTAAAATCCTCCTGTTTTTCTTATGCGATCGACTATTAAGGAGAAACAAAGCCATGCCCTTTTGTATGTGTGTAGGTGTGTTGGAAATTCGAGGGCAAAAAGTACGATCTTGCTAAGAAATTTGATATAAAAGTTGTAAATCATCAATGGGTGGAAGAATGCATTAGGGAAGGGAGACGAGTCCCCGAGGCGCCTTACATGTCTGAAAGGTTTGCTTATTGTTGTTTTGTTCGGTCTTCTTCTTTCTCGGTTCTTGAAAGATGATTGATAAAGAGTAAATTTTTCAGTGGGGAAGAGGTTGGACCTTTGATGATTGAACTTCCTGAGGAAACTAAAGTTACTAAGAAAGTGAATAAGGCTGCTGACACTTTTGATAAATACTTTGGTAATGGTCAAGAAAGCAGGACTGGATCCACTTCTGAGCTTGCCACTTGGATGGACTCTGTCTTGTTGAAAGAGGTAATTCTTGTTCTTTTATTATCTATTTGCTTACATGCAAACCAAGCCTACGGCTTTTACTGCTTTTATATCTTCCACCCTTTCAGTTTATTTTTCATTGAATTTAGTAATAGTACAAACGTTTTTGTGTTGTATGCTTACATACTGTCTAAGATCAGAATAGCCTTGTTGTTTCGCATAGTTTCTGTATGATTTGAGAGAGCGAGGTGGTACTAGCATATTTCCATCAGGTCTGGTTTCCATATTGTGTTATAGCCACCAAAATTAGCTATAGGTGGTCACTGTGGAAAGAAGCATTTAAACCAGCTCGAATAAAAGATGCTTACTTGCATTGCTGTTCTGTTTATGGTATAATATGTTTGGTGTTTGTTTTTCCTATCTCTGAGCTCCCTTGTTGCTTTTCAGAAAAATACAGTATCAAACAGACACTCAGTGCGATTAAGAACAAAGAGGCCGAGCAATATTTTTGAAGACAAGGAAAACACAAGCGTGGCGGAATCTTCAGGGAAAGGAAAGAGGCGGTTAGTAAAGAAACGTTCTTACAGAAACCTTATCGACCTTGAATCTGATGATGACTGTCTTGACAATTCTGATGAGAACCGAAACAAGACTCAGGATCCTAGAGAGCCTAATGATGAAAATGTGAGGGAATGGGTTTTAGAACCAGGAGAAACATCAGCTCTTCCACATACTGGAGGCTCTGAAATACAAAACTGGGATGTAGATGAAATAGAGGAGTCTGAGCATTGGAATCACACAGCTGTTTTTAAACGCCCGAAAACATCTAGCGCAGAGAGAAAACCGCAAGATGATGAATTAAACTTCGACAAACCCGATTCACGAGAAGAAGAGACAGAAGCATCTAAGATGGTTTCCGCGCAGGTTTCTTGTATCATATGCTGGACCGAGTTCAGTTCCACTAGAGGCATTCTCCCTTGTGGCCACAGGTTTTGTTATTCATGCATCCAGACATGGGTAGACCGTTTGGTGAGTTATCTCCTCCTACTAAACCTTCCAATATAACTCCTAAAATCAGGACATTGTCATGAATCATGATGCAACTATGATATGTATCTGCAGGTTTCAGAAAGAAAGAAGACAACATGTCCATTGTGCAAGTCCAGCTTCATCACCATCACAAAGATAGAAGACGCTGGATCTTCCGATCAAAATATATATTCACAAACAGTCCCTGACCCATCTTCAACAAACAACACTCTTGTAGTACTCCCTGAAGAAGATAGACAAGGTTTCAATCCACTGGTACAGTCATCTCTCTCTCTCTCTCTCATGAAAGGAACCGAGAGTCTTGAGTTTCCATGTGGTCTTGTTCTTGATTGCAACAACTTTCTTCTTGTTTATGCTTTTCTGCAGTCTCGAGCCTCAGCTTGCAGCAGATGTTACCTCAGTGAGCCAGAGGATCTTCTCATCAGATGCCACCTCTGCAATCTCCGGCGAATACATACATATTGTTTAGACCCTTATCTGGTTCCTTGGACCTGCAACCATTGCAATGATCTTCAGATGCTTTACCAGCGTCGTGCATACTAGAAAGAGTTTGATCCTAGTTTTGAAATGAAATGTTGATTGTTGCAATGATGAATATTTTATGGCTTTGTCATGAATAAATTAAAATATATTTAATAGATTTTAATTTTTTTAAAAGTAGGTCTTTTGATTTGTCCCACATCGACAAACTTGGATAATTGAGAAGGGGAAGCTGCACTATAAATAAGAGTCTTCATCTTCTAAACAATTAGGATTAACCATCCATACTGAAATCTCATATCACATTCTGTACGCGTTCAACTCTTGTTGGGCCTGTTATTGGGCCCTAATAGTACAATTAATAAGTCCCCGACTTTAAATTAAGTCGCCGATTTTTTAATACATCAGTATTAGGCGAAAGAAACCCGGTTATCTGCCTAAGATAACCGTTTAGCTTAAAATCGCGGCGGTTTGCCTCTGGTCGGCCGATTAATCGTCTAAGCGGGCGATTTCTCGAACACAGGTACTATACATACAGTACTGTTAAGTAAATAATTAATTTTAAAAACTAAAATGGATACAAATCGAACGGAATCAAGCATTATTTCTTCTTGTCTAAAGAATATGTTTTAAAATTCCGACTATCCAAAGTTTACAATACACTAGTAAAAATAAGATGTTAGAAAGGAAATAGCAGAAAATAATGAAAATTTGGTCAATGGCGTTGAATTTTTCACATCCCGCCATGGCCCCACTACCTAAAGAATGTGTTTTTAATCGTAAATTGGACTGTAAAATTCTGACTATCCAAAGTTTATTTTAAACAATGAACAGCACTACAAAAAAATTAAAATAATAAATAGGACTATAGTAAAAAAAAAAAGCAGAAAATAATGAAAATTTGGTCAATAGCGTTGAATTTTTCACATCCCGCCATGGCCCCCCTACCTAAATAAGATTTTTAATAATTAATTATCTTTTATTTTTGTTGGAAAAAAAAAACGTTTACCCTTCTTCTTCCTCATTACTTTCGATGGTTTGGTTTCGAATTTTCGTGGTTTCTGATTACCGAACTCGTTATTTTACTTTGGGTTATGGTCATCTGTTAGAAGACTTTGAAGCTCTCTTTTTCCCCAAATCTCCAGGTACTCTCTTATTCCTTTGTCCTCTTGTACGTTTTATCCGATTACCTCTTCATTTCCCAATTTTCAAAAATTAAAAGAAAAAACTTAACTTGCTCTCTTTCCTGGATTCTTACGATTTCATATTGTAGCGTATTCTAATCGCAACTTTAAAAGATGAAACGACTAAGATCCAGCAGCGACGACCTTGATTCCTACAATGATAAGAATATTGACGGAGAACCTCTAAACTCTGACCGCACAGCCTCTTCCTCCCATCGAGGTTTCTTCCACAAGTCCTCCAGTCGCAGAGGACCCATATCCCCTGCCAGATACGACCGTGACCGCCAGCCTTTTTTATCCAGTGATGATGCCAGTTTCTCAAGGGGTTTGTCCCATAGGCGATTCAGTCGTGACTTTGATAACAATCGAAGGAAAGAACCTGATGTCCGGTACAGAGAGGATAGGCTACATCGATCTGAGAGCACTTGTTTCTCAAGGAGGGCTTTTCCAAAGGGATTCCGTTCCGAGAGGGAGAGGCCTAAAAGGGAAGCTAGTGTTTCTTCTTGGAGGAGGTTTGGTGGTCTAGGGAATGATTTTGGCAGGGATGACCGAGACAGAGAAAGGGGAGGGCTTTCTTTGAGATTAAGGGATGGAGAGAGGGAAAGGAGTGTCAAGTCCCCTACTTGGTCTAGAGACTCTGGTAATGACCAATCAAAATTGAAAATGGATTCGAGAAATTTCAGGTCTAGATCCAAATCTCTGGCTTCTCCGACTTGGTCCAAAGATTCTGGGAGTGAGCAGTCCAAGAGTGTTGGAAATGTTGTGAAGAAAAGCGAGGAAGAAGTGCAGGGTAAGGGTAGTAGAAGCAGTAGCAACGAGATGGAGGAAGGAGAGCTGGAGCCTGAGCCTCAACTAGAGGCTGCATCTGAGGCTGCTCATACCACACATGACAGTGAAGACCAAAAGAAAGAAAGGATCGATAGTAGCTTCCAGAACACTAAAAGAAACGGTGAGTTTGATGATAAATTAAGAAAAGCCGAAACTGAAGTTAACAAGGAAGTCAGTCATATTGGTGGTAATAGGGAAACGAAAACGGCTGAGAGTATAATAGATAGAAAAAGTGTTGAAATAGGAGAAAATGTGCCTGAGCATGCGACTGAGAGCATGCCTACTTCTCAAAGCAACGTGAATGATACAACTTTGGCTAGTGAACAAGAGCTTAGAGATGACAGAAACACTGCTGTTGTCAATGCGATTACAGTTGCGTTCGATGATAAAGGTGATAGGGTAGAGGAATATAAAGTGAACCATGAAGTGAGGTTGGAAGAAAGTCTTTTCCCAGCTGTTCCCGAAGGGTTTCAGTCAGAAGAGCTTAAGCGAGTGAAGGGTAGTGATGGTAATGCCAACAAAGCAGAAGTTGAAGCCCTGGTATGTGTTGAGGAAAACACTCTAGGAAATATATCGCCTGCTAAATACATTAGCATTGTATCAGATAGCTCCATCCACAAATGCGAGGATAAGGGCAAAAATTTGGATGTCCCAATTGCTCTGTTACATGAAAATGCTGTCTTGTCTGAAGGAAAATCTGAGGATCTTACTGACAGGGATAAAGATGAAGATAACTTCGGAGGACCAAGTATCAGAGGGTTTGAACTGTTTTCTAGTTCTCCGGTTAGAAAAACAAATAAAACAGAGCAGTCGATTGTCAACAAGCCAAAGGATGAGAAGTTGTTGTTGGAGCCGCTGGATCTATCACTTAGCCTACCAGATGTATTGTTGCCAATTGGTGGCCAAGATACTAATCAGCCTCTGGGTTCACCAGCCCGTTCTGGAAGTGTTCGCTCTTTGACAGATACTTTTTGTACCAATTCCGATGGCTTCACCATGTCTATGTCCTTTTCAGGTTCTCGTTCGTTTAATCATAACCCAAGCTGTTCGTTGAATCAAAATATTGGAGATAATGAGCAGTCAGTTCATAGCCGGCCTATATTTCAAGGTATAGATTGGCAGGCTCTGTCTCATAACGATTCAAGGTACAACGAGAATACAGTCTATCAAAAGCTGATGGAAAATGGAAATGGTTCAGTTCATCCTCACACAATGAAAGGCATTTTAATTCCGGGCCAAGCTGATGAAGAGCATCTTAGATTGACCGATAAGAGCTCTAATGCAGTAAATAGCCTTGAAAAACAATTGAGTTTCCAAAAAAGTGTTGATGTTAAATCAGCATCTCCAAGAACCAGTTCTCTTGAAAATGATTCAAAGTTTCATGTTGATAAGAAAAAAGCGAAGGACTTTTTCGATGGTAGCATCTCCTGGATAAGTGGCCAGGAAACTGGTGGGGATGATTCTGTTGAGAGAGTCATAAAATACATTCTCTCTGATCCTATGCATGTGGTGACCAAGAGATTTCATGAGATGCCCACTAGATACATAATTAGGCTGAAGGAAAACATACGACTGATAATGATGAACATGGATAAGAATGTAAAACTTTGTGTTTTTCAAGATGCTCTACAGCACAGGACTGATATAACATTGGAATTGCTTACAAAATCTCATCGTGCTCAGTTGGAGATCTTGGTCGCACTAAAAACTGGACATTCTGATTTCCTTCAGCTGGACAACAACAGCATCTCTTCTACCCATTTAGCTGAGATCTACATGAACATGAGATGCAAAAATCTTTCTTGTGGGATTCTTGTGCCTGTGGATGAATGCGATTGCAGGGTTTGTTCAAGGAAGGATGGATTTTGTAGTGCCTGCATGTGTCTTGTGTGCTCAAATTTTGATATGGCATCAAACACATGTAGCTGGGTTGGGTGTGATGTGTGTCTTCACTGGTGCCACACGGATTGTGCGATACAAAAGTCTTTCATGCGAAATGGGATCAATGCTTCTGGTGCTCCAGGAATGACTGAGATGCAATTCCATTGTGTCGCTTGTGAGCATCCCTCAGAGATGTTTGGCTTTGTCAAAGAAGTGTTTCTGAATTTTGCCAGAGAATGGAAATTCGAGCGTTTCTGCAAGGAACTAGAGTATGTCAGTAAGATATTTTCATCAAGCAAAGACTTAAGAGGGAAACAACTGAGACAAGCTGCTGATGCAATCTTAGCAAGGTTGAAGAGTAAATTGATAGACCTTTCTGAAGCTTGCAATCGGATATTGGGTTTCATTTCAGGTGCGTATAATTTTTTGAATTGTGAACCTTGTCTGTTTTATGTGTCCTTTTATATAGCTATTGTGAAAAATGGTCATTAGCTATTGTGAAAAATGGTCATTGCTGATCATAACTGGTTCAATACTTTGCTTGGTGATGGCAGACTGTGATTCCACCTCTGCTCCTGGTGAAACTTGTGCACCGTTCAGATACGAACAGCCAAAACCTAGGCATGAGAGGGGAAGCCCAAGTCTGGACACGGCGTGGCTGAGGTCGGTCTGCTCAGATAAACCGGACCATCAGATTAAAAGGTCAGCAAGTGTAGTTAGTGCGTTCCACAGAGAGAGACAAGGTGAAATATGTGGAGTGGGGACGGGAATGGTAAAGGGATCATTACCAAAAGAACCTCGTTTCGAAGAACTAGAGAGCATCGTGAGAATGAAGCAAGCAGAGGCAGAGATGTTCCAAGGGCGGGCAGATGATGCAAGAAGAGAAGCAGATGGGCTGAAACGAATAGCAATAGCAAAAAAGGAGAAGATAGAAGAGGAGTACAAGAGGAGAATTGGGAAGCTGAGTATGGACGAGGCAGAGGAGAGAAGGGGGAGGATGCAGGAGGAGCTGGAGGCAATGGAGAGAGGGCAGAGAGAGTTTTATGAAATGAGGATGAGAATGGAGGAAGAGATGAGAGGGCTTCTCACCAAAATGGAAGTGACGAAGCATAGTCTGGCCTTGTAATATTTGTAGTTGTTTGTAGTAGTATTGTAGACACAAATTGGCACACCCGTTTCCTTCTTCTCGTATGTAATCCAAAGATAGGAATGTAACGTCCTTTCTTTTAGAGGATATCAATACGTTAGTAGCAACATGTACAGCTCTTGCCATTTTAGATTATGAGACTATGGATATGCTACAGCAAGCTGACCAATAAGCTATAACTGATTGAGAGTCATCTTGAAGAATGTTATCAGTTTAACAAAGATGGTAGAGATAAAATGTCCAAAAGTAGAAGCCACTGCGCTTACTTGTTCACAATCCAGCAAGGTTCAGTTAAAGATGAGAGGTAAAGTTCTTTTTCACAATTAATCATAAAACTGTGATGTCGTAATGGTGGAACACTAGAGCTCATGTAAAGATTTCAGCATGTTAATAAGGTGAAAACAGGAAAACTGATTCTTGTCGGCCTGCTTGACAAAACTAGAGCAGAAGGTAGGGTTCTTGAAGTGGCGAAGACGATCAGATGAATCGATCAACTAGGATTAGGATTTTCAATTTTGGTGTTTCGTTGTTCTTCAAGTCTCCGATGTCCAACTGTCAGTAAAACAAATGTTATCACTAGATTTTCAAGTAAAAAGTTATTAGAGGCTACAATAATACCAAAAGATGTATTCAACATAAATACACGTGAAGATGAAAATGGTAGACTTATAGTATGCATTCAATTTTATTATAAACTAGATTAGGCCTGCATGATACAAAAAATTTATTAAAATATTTAAATTTTAAAATTATTAATCTCACTATGATCCGTATAGTTAGATTCTGAATTAAAATCTCGCTAACTTATCCACAAATTATATTTTAGTTTTTTTAATAGAAATTTCAAAATTGATCTATTTTATACAAACTTGATAAACAGTCTTTTCTATTTTTCGTATTTTGTAGTCTGTTTTTTTTCTCTTATTTTACATTTTTCTGTTTTATTAGTTTTCATTTTAAAAAACATAATTCATTTTTTCTTTTTTGAAACAAATAACTAAAAAATTAAAAATTTTATATTATTATATTAACATATATCACGATCTAAGTTAACAATGACACATATTATAATCTCGTAACTTATAATTTTGGCCAGCTGATAAAGATGTATTTTATCTTCTTTCGTGCAGGCAGATTTCTTTGCCCCTCCAGAGATCCAGCAAACCTTGGAATTCTTTTAAAAACCTTTTTTAAGGCTACAAAACAGAGAGCCAAAGATTCTTAAAGATTCCATCATTATTATCAACACCATAGTTGGCACATTGTTTCAATCAGAATTCACAAATTAAGATACTTATTGCTAGAGTAGCCATCAACAGTCAAACTCAGCATACAGTCTATTTTTACTACCATATATCTCAGACCAGAGATTTGCTGTCCAAGTCTCACAGCATCGATTATGAAAGAATTTATCCAAATGGTTTAGTCCAGCCAGTTTCTCTCAGCTCCTAGATTGTTCAGTCACAAACTAATGTTAGAATCTCAAAAGGAATTTGCATTTAACCATATAATAAATGTTAGAAGTGTTCGCTCCAATCTTTAAGATCAATAACTGATGTGGTTGTGAGTACGAGAATAAGTTTTACCCCAAAAAGAATCAATTAAAGCCACCAGTGCACAAAAAATTGATTGTAGTATTCAGGGATCGAATCCACAGGGAAATAGTATATCTTCTGCAAAAACTTTTTGAAAGAGATTGAACAAGGAAGTTTAGAACTAATCGATATTTATAAAAGGGTTTTGGGTGTCACTAAAAACGTACATGGGAAAAGAAAAAATCGATTAAAAATAAAAAATGACCTAATGCTAAGACTCTAAGAAATTTGGTTGGGATGTAAAAATGACTTAACGTAAAAATCTAGAAAGTTGATTGGTTTAAAACTTATGAAAACGAGATGTTGGGTTGTCAGGGAAATATCACCGGGGTATAAACGATTCATAACCTTGCTAAAAAGTAATATAAATATCCTAGCGAAAACTTTTAAAACTCGAGCATGAAGGTATGACTACGTCACTGTCGTGATCATAACCAACTTTCATCTAAGATCCTGATCAGTAGATTTTGTCTCTGGCCCCGGCCACAGATGTACGCAATTTTGCACTAGATTCATCTACATTCACAACTCGCCCATAGATAACTTTTGTCTCCTATGGCAGAATTGCTCTTCTCAAACTAGATTTGGCCCCTAGTGAAAACTTTCACAACACTAAGAACATAAATCAGATTATAGTTCATGATGCTTTTCTCATGCATTAAAAATAAGTTTAGAAGAAAAAGTTCTACGATTTGACTTAATAGCTCATGTAATCCTCATCAAACATATATGATCCCCATCAAAAATAATTTTAAACCCAACAAATAAACTATTCATACATGATTAAAGAAAGCAGAAACTTTGAATTGAAAATCTGTATTAAAATCGATATTGAAGAAGAAAAAAAGAGGGTTCAAGAGATAGATCTCTATCACCATAAACCTAAAAACTAAAAGTACGAAGAACAAGGAACATAATTCTAACAATAGCATAACACACTTTATAGTTCTTCAAGTCATTTTTGGACGTCACTTAGGCTTTTCTTGAAGAGAGAAATCGAATGGGCTTGAAAGTGGTATTCTTGGGTCTGGACGTTGATTCTCCGTGGTCAGGAAGTGGGCGACCGTGGAAAAAACAAGTGTTGGCTGCAGTCCGGAAGGCTGGCTGGCTGATTGACTAGACATCTTGTCATTTCTGTTACTTTTGATTGAACCGTTGGATTGTCCTGATGTTACGTGCTATAAAGCTAGTTGTTCCATCTTTAATTAAGGTATCCAAATTTGAGCTAGATCAGATGGTGATAAGATCTTCATTTGAAGGTGAACTTCTGACGGTTTGACTCTGAGCTACAATTCACGTTCTATCCATTTTGCAAAGCTTTTACATAAGTTTCTTGAAAGAGGTTTGAAACTACAAATAGTATGAAATCATAATAAAACACTTAAAAGAAATTAAAAAGCATAAGTAAAACATTTAAAAACGATCCATAAAAGTGGTCAAAATACGGTGTTATTAATTCCCACATATTTAAACTTTTCTTTGTCCTCAAACAAAGCAAAGATCAAAGCAAGGTGAAGTGAAAAGAAAAATAGAAAATGCAAAAATCTCAGAGACATGAACCTCTAAACTATGACCATCGGTCGTACAACAATCGCAACTTAGTCTATAAAATTTTCACCAAGACACAAAAGATATTAGTTAACTTTTCCGTCATACAAAATCTAAACAATCTAAATGTCGATTCCAGTCAACTAGCTTTATACATTCATTAAGTGCAAAGTGTGAACTTCTCATGAAAGACATCATTCAGGGTATATGAAATTGGTATTGAGGGCTATTTAAGTGGTGGAGTTAGAGTGTTTAGAGTTACCTGAAGATCTGGACGATGCTAGATATTATGCAAAACCGGAAGAGAGAATTGACCTGTTGATGCCCACAATTTTCAGTCACTTCTTTTTGCCAAGTGTTGTTGCATAATCATTCCTCCTTTTTTGTAAACATCTACTTCTCCCAGACTTAGATTTTTTCCGAGAATCGATAAGATGATCTCCAAAAACTCCAAATAATCGAACCAGGGCTTGTCTCAAAGATAAAATTCGATCATCCTAGATTCTCTAAGGTTTTTATTTCATTTCCTTTCTCATTTTTCTTCTCCTTTTTTTTAGTCTTTTTTTTTAATTTGAAAAAGGAAACACATTTTATTAAAAGAGAAAGAGAGTCCAAGGGACGAAAATATACCAATGTTTTGAAGTCTTTCTGAGGCAAACCAAGCTTTCTCCTTTGTTGAAACATTCCAGAAATCGCAAGTCTCCGTCTTCAGTGACTGAAAACTGCGTTGATCCTCTTTCTCTCTAACGTTTTTGCACATATCTGCATATAGGACAATAAAAAACAAGAATGCATGTGGTTTGAAAGAGGTTGGGGAACTAGCCATTCAGGATCAACAAAAAGTGGTAAAAGGATAAAAGAATCCTGAATGTATGATTTGTTTCCCTGAACTAATGCTTTAATGAGAAAATTAAGTCAATGTTAAGTTCAGATAAAACAGCACTAGTGTATTCCTTCATCTAAATCAAAATCATTCAAATTCCTCTAGGGTACTTCATTTCAAATGTGCTTAGCTACCGTCTAGTCTAGTCCTAAATTACGAATGAGCATGCCACTAAGGAATAGTCTAAAAGTACACATTCAACTATCATCAAATCATGTTCACCAAAAACGTATTTTGTTTTGAAAAATGTTTTTGAAAAGCACACAGTCAACTACAAATGAGAATGTCACTAGGGAATAGTCTAAAAGCACACAGTCAACTATCATCGATTCAAGTTCACCATTCTCTTGAAAAACGTATTTTGTTTTGAAAACCATTTTTGAAAAACTTTTTAGAAAACAGGAAAAATACAGATAATGCAGGACTCATAAAAAAAAAGGTTAATAAGAGATGAAATCCTCCCCCAGACTTAGATCACACTGTCCTCAGTGTGAAAAAAATCGAGCTTGGATGAGAAAAGAGTATGAATGTATAGAAAAGATAAGAAAAAAAGAGAACTTACTTGGATGCAGGATAAATGAATGATGCATATGTTGGTGGAATGCATTAGGGGATGGTATTGATGATGCAAATGATGCTGGGGTGGATGAAGGATGTATGAGCTTCAAACCGGGATGCTGACAGGGATAAACCGGATCGTTGCGGGAAGATGCTGAAAGATGCAGGAAGATGCGGGAAGGTGCTATAAGGTGATTGGAGATGGTGGGAAGTGGTGGATGAGGTGGAATGAAGCATTGTGAGTTAAAATAAGGTGAATTGGGTCGGAGGGTGATGTGAACGACCAATGGCCGCGGGTGCAGGCCACACGACCGTAGGGTGGGTATGGTTGGCCGTGGGTGGTTCCTCGGGACTGGGGTCGAACACCGCTTGGCTGCAGGTTAGTTGAATGCGAC